GTTTTAGATTCCGTCTCTCACAGTTGAAGTGTACCTATGATAAAAATTACAGACCTCTACATGCTTTGTAAGTAGGAAAACCTGCAAAATCGGCAGTGTATCAAATACTTGTTCTCCCCACTGTATATACACAGTACCAGTCAAAAGTTTGGACACACCTACTCATTCAAGGGTTTTTCTTTATTTTTACTATTTTCTACATTGTAAAATAATAATGAAGACATCAAAACTATGAAATACAGTGGCTTGCGAAAGTATTCACCCCCCATGGCATTTTTCCTATTTTGTTGCCTTACAACCTGGAATTAAAATGGATTTTTGGAGGGTTTGTATCATTTGATTTACACAACATGCCTACCACTTTGAAGATGCAAAATATTTTTTGGTGTGAAACAAGAAATAAGACAAAAAAACAGAAAACTTGAGCGTGCATAACTATTCACCCCCCCCAAAGTCAATACTTTGTAGAGCCACCTTTTGCAGCAATTATAGCTGCAAGTCTCTTGGGGTATGTCTCTATAAGCTTGGCACATCTAGCCACTGGGATTTTTGCCCATTCTTCAAGGCAAAACTGCTCCAGCTCCTTCAAGTTGGTGTACAGCAATCTTTAAGTCATACCACAGATTCTCAATTGGATTGAGGTCTGGGCTTTGACTAGGTCATTCCAAGACATTTAAATGATTCCCCATAAACCAATTGAGTGTTGCTTTAGCAGTATGCTTAGGGTCATTGTCCTGCTGGAAGGTGAACCTCCATCCCAGTCTCAAATCTCTGGAAGACTGAAACAAGTTTCCCTCAAGAACAGTTTCCCAGTCCCTGCCGATGAAAAACATCCTCACAGCATGATGCTGCCACCACCATGCTTCACTATGGGGATGGTGTTCTTGGGGTGATGAGAGGTGTTGGGTTTGTGCCAGACATAGCGTTTTCCTTGATGGCCAAAAAGCTCAATTTTAGTCTCATCTGACCAGAGTACCTTCTCCATATGTTTGGGGAGTCTCCCACATGCCTTTTGGCGAACACCAAACGTGTTTGCTTATTTTTTTCTTTAAGCAATGGCTTTTTTCTGGCCACTCTTCCGTAAAGCCCAGCTCTGTGGAGTGTACGGCTTAAAGTGGTCCTATGGACAGATACTCCAATCTCCGCTGTGGAGCTTTGCAGCTCCTTCAGGGTTATCTTTGGTCTCTTTGTTGCCTCTCTGATTAATGACCTCCTTGCCTGGTCTGTGAGTTTTGGTGGGCGGCCCTCTCTTGGCAGGTTTGTTGTGGTGCCATATTCTTTCAATTTTTTAATAATGGATTTAATGGTGCTCCGTGGGATGTTCAAAGTTTTTGATATTTCTTTATAACCCAACCCTGATCTGTACTTCTCCACAACTTTGTCCCTGACCTGTTTCGAGAGCTCCTTGGTCTTCATGGTGCCGCTTGCTAAGCCCCTGGCTTAGTGGTGTTGCAGACTTTCAGAACAGGTGTATATATACTGAGATCATGTGACAGATCATGTGGCACTTAAATAAAGTCCACCTGTGTGCAATCTAACGAATTATGTGACTTCTGAAGGTAATTGGTTGCACCAGATCTTATTTAGGGGCTTCATAGCAAAGGGGTTGAATACATATGCACGCACCACTTTTCCGTTATTTATTTTTTTGAATTTTTTGAAACAAGTTATTTTTTTCATTTCACTTCACCAATTTTGACTATTTTGTATATGTCCATTACATGAAATCCAAATAAAAATCCATTTAAATGACAGGTTGTAATGCAACAAAATAGGAAAAACACCAAGGGGGATGAATACTTTTGCAAGGCACTGTAACACATATGGAATCATGTAGTAACCAAAAAAGTGTTAAACAAGTCAAAATATATTTTATATTTGAGCTTCTTCAAATAGCCACCCTTTGCCTTGATGACAGCTTTGCACACTCTTGGCATTCTCTCAACCAGCTTCACCTGGAATGCTTTTCCAACAGTCTTGAAGGAGATCCCACATGTGCTTAGCACTTGTTGGCTGCATTTCCATCACTCTGCCGTCCAACTCATCCCAAACCATCTCAATTGGGTTGAGGTTGGGGGATTGTGGAGGCCAGGTCATCTGATGCAGCACTCCATTACTCTCCTTCTTGGTAAAATAGCCCTTACACAGCCTGGAGGTGTGCTGGGCCATTATCCTGTTGAAAAACAAATGATAGTCCCACTAAGCCCAAACCAGATGGGATGGCGTATCGCTGCAGAATGCTGTGGTAGCCATGCTGGTTAAGTGTGCCTTGAATTCTAAATAAATCACAGACAGTGTCACCAGCAAAGCACCCCCACACCATAACACCTCCTCCTCCATGCTTTACTGTGGGAACTACATGCGGAGATCATCCATTCACCCAAACCGCGTCTCACAAAGACACGGCGGTTGGAACCAAAAATCTCCAATTTGGACTCCAGACCAAAGGACAAATTTCCACCGGTCTAAATATATTTTGATTGGTTTAACACTTTTTTGGTTACTACATAATTCCATATGTGTTATTTCATAGTTTTGATGTCCTCACTATTATTCTACAATGTAAAAAATAGTAAAAATAAAGAAAAACCCTTGAATGAGTAGGTGTGTCCAAACTTTTGACTGGTAGTGTAAAATATTGAACAAAAGTGTAAACGCAACATGCAACAAATTCAACGATTTTACGGAGTTACAGTTCATTTAAGGAAATCAGTCAATTGAAATAAATTAATTAGGCCCTAATCTATGGATTTCACATGACTGGGCCGGGGTACAGCCATGGGTGGGCCTGGCTCCCAAGTGGGTGGGCCTGTGCCCTCCCAGGCCCACCCATGGCTGCGCCCCCTGCCCAGTCATGTGAAATCAATAGATTAGGGCCTAATGAATTTACTTAAATTGACTCTCCTCTCTCCAGAAGAGAGAGAGAGCAATAGGAGAGAGAAGAGAGAGCGAGAGAGAGAGGAGCCGAGAAGAGGAAGATCGAGCTCGATGATTGAGAAGAGATCGCTAGCCTCGTCTCTCTAGAGCTCTCGTCTGATCTCTCTCTCTCTGCTCTCCTCCTCTCTCTCTCTCTCTCGCTCTCTCTCCTCTCCTCTTCTCTCTCTCTCTCTCGCTCTCTCTCTCTCTCTCTCTCTCTCTCTCTCGGAGTACATGCCTGAAGGCAAGGAGGGTCATGTGACTCATTCCCCAAGTGGGGGCCAACCGATATGGTGCACCAGTTTCCACCCATCATGCACCAGCAGAGCAGACAGAGGGCATTCTCTAGATGGATGCCTTGAAAGGTGAACATATTTTTTTCCCGGAAGAATCTGTAGGCATTTTCCATACCGAGCACAAATATATTGTATTGAGTATTTATTTATTTTACAGAAGTGCTGGAAAAACAGCATTTCAGTGTGCCCCCTTAACATTTACATTTACATCATTTAGCAGACACTCTTATCCAGAGCGACTTACAAATTTGACACAGCATTGCAGTGTGCCCCCTTGACACAGCATTGCAGTGTGCCCCCTTGACACAGCATTGCAGTGTGTCCCCTTCACGCTGATCCCAGACATTTGCCTGGGGGCAACTTCTACCCGGAACCATGTTTGCACATGCCTGGAGATCAAGAATGAGAGACACAGGAGACACAGGGCTGTCCAACAGCTGTTTCATGTTCAACACTTTTCGTGAGAGATTGCTGCAGCTGTATCCTAAATCATGTATGCAAATATTCCCAAATTAAGTTGAGGAATGCAGCGGGGGTTCACCCAGAGTTTGTGAAGACGTAGCTCCATAAGACATAAATCAATTTCTATAGTTTAATACGTTATAGTTCCTTATTGGCCAAATGCCTTAAGTAACATGATGGGGGGATGCTTTCATTCACACAACACTGCACAACAAACAGTGACATCAATCTATATAATACATAGTCATTTATGTACTAGTTTCAATAACTTGCTTTCAATGTCTATCTAAGATATATTATTATGACAAAGACCTTTTGAAATGCATTGCCTTTGGCAAAGGCCAACACTCAAAAAACACTTCCTTTATTAGGCAGGAACATCAAAACCACAAAAAGCCAGACCACATTTCATGCCATTTTGGCACAAGCTCTCCTGACTTCATCACACTTATTATGCCCGTGTGTGCCGTTCAGGGTCTGTGTTGAATCGGGGAGATAGCCTTACCCCTGTATGCCACCTGACAAAACAGACACACCATGTGAGAATGGGGACTACAGATAATACAAACTGAGACAAAGGAGGAGGAGGGGGAAGGGGGGGGGGGGGGTCGGACCTGAAAGAAAGCAGTGAAATGTAAATGGCGAGAAGATGAGTCACAGAAAAGAGGGAGAGAGAGAGAGGGACTAAAGGAGAGGTGTCAAGTTTGCTCACAGTACCTCTGTGCGTATGTATTTTACATATTCAGCCTGAACCAGTGCACGCGGGAGAAACCATTATGGCAGGAATAGAGGGGGTAAGAATGCTTAGGAATGTGCACCCATTTGGCCAGCGATGACCTTCGAAAGCCTTTAGTATAGCAGAATAATGACATAACATAGCACCCTCAAACTCAACTCTGGACCTGGACGCCAGTTCAACTGCTTCTTGTTTTCACTGTTTCCCTCTAATCAGGGACTGATTTAGCTCTGGGACACCAGGTGGCCGCAATTCATTATCAGGTAGAACAGAAAACCAGCAAGTGCTCCGGACCTTGTAGGGTCAGAGTTAAATAGCCCTGACATAGCGGTTCTCTACTGGTGCATCAGGACCCACTGGTTGGTCAGGGCCATTCCCTCTTGGGTCACGGCTAAAGGAACATGGCTTAGTTTATCTATTGGGTAATTTAAACCTGTTCAGCTTTAGGTGGGCCATTCATAATGCAAGAACTCTAGGCAGCTGCCAATGATATAAGCAACATCAGCACCTTATTACTAAATACGTCCAGACAGACATTCCTTCATTCCCCTCATGATCACTGCTATGGCATTAGGTCAGCTCTCTCTCACCCTGCTGGCAGACATCTCATTCAGGCTGGACTGTTCTCTGTGGCAGGTGTACTGAAGCTCGTTTTGTGGCTCAGAGTTTAAGGATCTTTTGAGAAGAAACATGAGGCTGCAGATTATTCATTCACTCTGGACGGGAATTCACATTCTATCATTCACAGTTTCCTCCGAATTGGAGCCAGACAAGATATGATACTTACTGAGCCCATGTCTGTATAGGAGGAAATGCCTTATAAGCACTGAACAATGGACAGAGAAAAAGGGCCATCTTGGATCAAACACCAACACCATCAGCTGAAATGATAACAGTTATTGGTCCTGTACATTTTTCATCCTGCAATTTCATTTCCAAATGGCCTGAGACATATTTGAGAATAATACCATAGAATTGTCTCCATTAAATGTCTGTTTTGTCTCTGCTTGATGTGACTGTAGAAGGTAACCATTGATGTGACTGTAGAAGGTAACCATTGATGTGACTGTAGAAGGGAACATTATTGCAATTTGTGACTGTAGAAGGGAACCATTGATGTGACTGTAGAAGGTAACCATTGATGTGATTATAGAAGGTAACCATTGATGTGACTATAGAAGGTAACCATTGATGTGACTGTAGAAGGTAACCATTGATGTGACTGTAGAAGGTAACCATTGATGTGACTGTAGAAGGTAACCATTGATGTGACTGTAGAAGGGAACCATTGATGTGACTGTAGAAGGGAACCATTGATGTGACTGTAGAAGGTAACCATTGATGTGATTATAGAAGGTAACCATTGATGTGACTATAGAACGGCACCCCTGTACCTTCAGGCTCTGATCAGTCCCTACACCCAAACGAGGACATTGCGTTCATCCACCTTTTGGCCTGCTGGCTCCCTTCCTCTGCGGAAGCACAGCTCCCCTCCAGCCCAGTCAAAATGTTCGCTGCTCTGGCACCCCAATGGTGGAACAAGCTCCCTCACGACGCCAGGACAGCGGAGTCACTCACCACCTTCCGGAGACATTTGAAACCCCACCTCTTTAAGGAATACCTGGGATAGGCTAAAGTATTCCTTCTAACCCCCCCCCCCCCAAATTGTAAAGTGGTTATCCCACTGGCTATAGGGTGAACGCACCAATTTGTGAGTCGCTCTGGCTAAGAGCGTCTGCTAAATGACGTTAATGTGCCCTTGAGCAAGGCACTTAACCCTAATTGCTCCTGTAAGTCGCTCTGGTTAAGAGCGTCTGCTAAATGACTAAAATGTAAAATGTAAATAGAAGGTAACCATTGATGTGACTGTAGAAGGTAACCATTGATGTGACTGTAGAAGGTAACCATTGATGTGACTGTAGAAGGGAACCATTGATGTGACTGTAGAAGGGAACCATTGATGTGACTGTAGAAGGTAACCATTGATGTGACTGTAGAAGGTAACCATTGATGTGACTGTAGAAGGTAACCATTGATGTGACTGTAGAAGGTAACCATTGATGTGACTGTAGAAGGGAACCATTGATGTGACTGTAGAAGGTAACCATTGATGTGACTGTAGAAGGTCACCATTGATGTGACTGTAGAAGGTAACCATTGATGTGACTGTAGAAGGTAACCATTGATGTGACTGTAGAAGGGAACCATTTAAGAGCACTGTGAGTCTTCCATCCCCCTTCTTGTCCCTATCTAAATGATAGAAAGAGGAACAATTGTTCCCTGCAGCCCTCTTCAGTTCAAACTACGTACTGCAACCTCACGACCAAGCTGTTCACCCCTGCCCTTAGGCACAGATCTAGGATCAGCTTATCCTGTCCAGTCCCTAACCATAAGGGAGACTAAAATAAAAACGGACATTAGATCAGTGTCTAGGGGCAACGTCACCACACGGCCTGTTGGCATTTTCAGTCAGGACCATAGCAGTTTTTTTTGGGCGACACTCATTTCAAACAAAGAGAATGAAAAGGGTATCAACACAGCCACACTCCTCTCCTTCAGAACTTCATGTCATCCACTCAATTTGATCGCTGGTTATAAGCATTGTGGTTTTTAAAGTCAGTTTCCAACTGAGCCGACATATGCAGCACAATCGCGTTTATGGAAACGAAGGCTGTTCTGACAGGCGTGGTTGTGGCTAGATATGTTTGAGTCGCGTCTGGGACAATTTTAGCATTTTAGCTAACCCTAACCTTAATGTAATTATCCTAACCTGCTACATTAATTATCCTAATCTGCTACATTAATTCTCCTAACCTGCTACATTAATTATCCTAACCTGCTACATTAATTATCCTAATCTGCTACATTAATTCTCCTAACCTGCTACATTAATTATCCTAATCTGCTACATTAATTCTCCTAACCTGCTACATTAATTATCCTAACCTGCTACATTAATTCTCCTAACCTGCTACATTAATTATCCTAATCTGCTACATTAATTCTCCTAACCTGCTACATTAATTATCCTAATCTGCTACATTAATTATCCTAACCTGCTACATTAATTCTCCTAACCTGCTACATTAATTCTCCTAACCTGCTACATTAATTCTCCTAACCTGCTACATTAATTCTCCTAACCTGCTACATTAATTCTCCTAACCTGCTACATTAATTCTCCTAACCTGCTACATTAATTCTCCTAACCTGCTACATTAATTCTCCTAACCTGCTACATTAATTCTCCTAACCTGCTGCGTAAAGCTCCTCTGACCTGCTACATTAATTCTCCTAACCTGCTACATTAATTCTCCTAACCTGCTGCGTAAAGCTCCTCTGACCTGCTACATTAATTCTCCTAACCTGCTACATTAATTCTCCTAACCTGCTGCGTAAAGCTCCTCTGACCTGCTATGAAAAGTAACTTCTGCTGGACTCCATCTAGAACAGTGTGGGTTCCGAATAACTCGATACTCCACATGCAGCGTTTACCATGAATGGGATCTCAACAAACGCGGGAACATTGCCTTAAAAAGCCACAATAGCCTATAATTTACAGCTAAGCCCAGTCTAAAGTCAACCCCTAGACCCCACATCCAGCTTCAAAGAGCTCTACTACGGAGCTCTCCGCCCCTCACTGGGGCAGCGTTTCCTGGGGCACACATCCTCCTAGTCAGAACAGGATGCAGTGGTTCATCAAAACAGCTAAGTACAGCAGAGCGGACAGAGGGGAGCTCTGGGGTGGGCTACACACACACACAGAGCTCTGAACACACAACTTGGAGAATGTTGCTAGATCATTTATTGTGGATTGATCTAACCAAATCTACTCAAATCTATCACATACTACACTAGGTTTGGCACCCTATTCCAGAACAACCCTAATTGTCTTTCTCAATTATCAGATCCACGAGGGAGAAGCAGGTTGAAACCAGACGCTGCGAAGTGAGCCGGGATGCTGGGACAGACCATGTGACCACGTGAGTGAGGAAGCAACTGAACATACCCACCAGTCAGCAACCAGGCCAGCATCATCCATAATGACCTGCACGCTCAGAAAGCGGGTTAATCTCTAGCCTCTAGCCTGTTCACACACTAAAGCACAAGACCCCTGTACGACCACCTGGCTCTGCCTGACCACCTGGTTGAAAAACAGAGATGTGCTGCAGTGCATGAGTGATGACAGACAGAGGCTGGCTGCACCTGAGGTGATTACGGTACTCCGTGGAGACCGCAAAAACACACACACACACACACACACACACACACACACACACACACACAATGGTCACAAACACACCACACAATTTACAAAAGCACACAGTCATTTTTTGGAAACACACACAACATACATAACACACATTACATTTGAGTCATTTAGCAGATGCTCTTATCCAGAGCGACTTACACCAGTGAGTGCATACGATTTCATACTAATGCCATAATGCCATTAATACAGGTCCCTGGATACCCAATCTTTTTTAATGAGCAATTACTAAATGTCTTCTAATTCTATGAACACACAGGATCAAATGGGCCACATGATAGAGCAGATCTGTCTATAGTGGTCCAACGGTTGATCCTACCACCTACCTGATGTGGCCATGGTAAATCAAAAATCTGTTCATATGGAGAAACACTGCATGGTAAAACTGACCAGAGAGCAGTGGAGCTTAATGACAGTGTAGGGTATACAGTAGAGAGACGGAAGCATGTACACACACACACACACACACACACAAACACACACTCAAACACACACTAGAGAGGCTAAAGAGAGTACATAGAGATGCTAATGGAAAGCTAGCCCCGTCTCTGGATTACCCTCAGAGCTGATAATCCTGTGTGTCCTTGGAGCCCTGTGCATCCCTCTCAATGACACTGCACACACACACACACACACACACACACACACACACACACACACACACACACACACACACACACACACACACATTTACCCTCAGCCACAGACAACCAGATGCTATGCCACACACACACACACACACACACACACACACACACACACCACACAAACACACATTTACCCTCAGCCACAGACAACCAGATGCCTATGCCACACACACACACACACACACACACATTTACCCTCAGCCACAGACAACCAGATGCTATGCCACACACACACACACACACACATTTACCCTCAGCCCACAGACAACCAGATGCTATGGCCACACACACACACACACCACACACACACACATTTACCCTCAGCCACAGACAACCAAGATGCTATGCCACACACACCCACACACACACACACACACACACACACATTTTACCCTCAGCCACAGACAACCAGATGCTATGCCACACACACACACACACACACACACACACAAACACACACATTTACCCTCAGCCACAGACAACCAGATGCTATGCCATACACACACACACACACACACACACACACCACACACACACGCTTACCCTCATTCGTTCTACCAGACACACAGAAGCTCCAGCAGAACACAGTAGCTGATGTAATGGGGATACAGTCCAGACAGTGATTTTATATTCCCATTACATATGTGTTACTGAGGTCGTACGTAGTAAAGTACACCTACAAATGAGAGAAAGGAAACCACTGTCAGAACACAGATCTTTGCCTGCACGTCAGCTACTGCAGTCTGCTGCACATTCAGACAATGACAGAATGAGAACACAGAACACAGAACACATTATGGTGCTGTGTAAAAACTGGAACATTGTAATAAGGCTCAAAGAGCGGGACTGAAATAGCTGCTGCTGAGCCGGTAGGTGTGGTATCATGGCAACTAGAGGCTCAGGTTTTATGTCACAGCAGATCCCCATGGCAACCGGCCCAGATCGCCTGTCACAGCGTGAGGTCAGTGTTTCTATGGAAACACACCAGCTGAGCAGTAAGCTGCTGCTGCTGCCACCCCTCCTTTCTGATCAGAGTGAGCGAGTGAACAGGAAAGTGGGGGGAGGGGGAGGGAGAGAGAGAGGGAGGGAGAGAGAGAAGGGGAGGGAGAGAGAGGGAGAGAGAAGGAGAAGGAGAGAGGGGAAGGGGAGGGAGAGGAGAGACAGGAACGAGAGAGGAGAGAGAGAGGGGAGGGAGAGGCCGGAGGAAGAAAAGGGGAGGGAGAGAGAGGGGAGGGGAGGGGGAGGGAGAGAGAGAGAAGCAGAGAAGAGAGAGAAGGGGAGGGAGAGCGAGAAGGAGGGAGAGAGCGAGAAGGAGAAAGAGAGAGAGACAGGGGAGGGGAGGAGAGAAGGGTGGAACGGAGAGAGAGAGAAGGAGAGGGAGAGAGAGAAAGGGGTGGAGAGAGAGAGAAGGAGAGCGAGAGAGAGAGAAGGGGAGGGAGAGAGAGGAGAGAGAGAGAGAGAGAGAGAGAGAAGGGGAGGGAGAGAGAGGAGAGAGAGAGAGAGAGAGAGAGGAGAGAGAGAGAGAGAGAGAGAGAGAAGGAGACAGAGAGAGAGAGAGAGAGAGAGAGGAGAGGGAGAGAAGGGGAGGGAGAGAGAGAAAAGAGAGAGAGAGAGAGAGAGAGAGAGGGGCGTCAGTAAGAGAAATATGCATATTCAGAACTGCCTGTAATAGTAGCAAATTTACAGGAACAGGCAGCTAGCACACAGGAACAGGCAGCTAGCACACAGGAACAGGCAGCTAGCACACAGGAACAGGCAGCTAGCACACAGGAACAGGCAGCTAGCACACAGGAACAGGCAGCTAGCACACAGGAAGCTAGCACACAGGAACAGGCAGCTAGCACACAGGAACAGGTGCTGCCTGCGGTCAAAACTGACCCATTAAACAAAGCGTTACCTCTAAACCTCTCCTGTATGCAGTGCTTCTACAAGCACAAGCATCCTGGCAAACACACATGCAGAAATACAACCTTCATTGCACAGAGATTGTACACCACAATCATTCACGTCGGTGCACATCCACAATACAAGCAGCAGCAGCATGTCTGTGATTAATGTACAAGTTACTAAGATGTTATTACTTAAAAACCTACATTGAAAACCTGCATTGTTAAATTATGTCATAGGATTGCATGAAGCCTGAAAATGATTACATTATAAGATTTGATCAAATAACGACCAAGGCTTCTCTGCAGTGTCCCTAGATTATATCAAGGTTTAAGGAGCTCGATAGCTTTGCAAGGGGCGCCATCAGGTGGGGAAAAGGTGGAACTACACCATGTCATAGAGCAAGGACTTGTCATTTGAGAATAAAATCAATTCGGAATTGAATTTGGGGGGAAATGAAATTTTGTAAATAGTTAAAATACTTAACAATAAATGATCTGTGGGTCATCTGTTTATTCTAAATCATTCATAAATATGATCATGAACTGCTAAACTATTTGTAGAGGAACAGCAGATCATCGGTGGTGTGATAATGGACATTGTAGTGTGGACTATCAGGGTACAGGCCATTTGAATGGGCGGCTGGTCCTCTATGGATCTACAACAGGGGTGGGCAAACATACGGCCCATTCGATCTGGCCCGCCGGGACGTTTAAGGAAAAAATATTATTTAAAAAATTGTTTAAAGAATGATTATTTTGGGTAAAGAAACTCCCCAGGCCACTCTTGAACGTTTTAAACTAGATAGAAAGTTTGTAGAAATTATAATGGACCTATATACGTTTTCAAATAACTGCCCTTTTTCTGGCACGCAAATTGCTTTTGACGAACAAATCGGTCCCCCAAAAAAAATCTGTGCAGCCCTCCGCTGAATGTTTTTTATCCCAATGTGGCCCTCGAGCCAGAATTATTACCCACCCCTACTCTACAATGTTCAGTTAGTTTTAGCATGTTGAGCAATAGCAGACACCCTTCCAAAAATATCCACTTCCAATGTTTTCCTTACAATTTACGCAGCTCATTGGTGCCCTTTAAAGAACGCAAATACAAAGAAACCAATGGGAGAGCTGTACGTGATTACGTCTTGCTGGGGGACAGTAGAAAGGATTGTGCCATAACTGAGTAACTTATCAAAACCCTTTGTATTGAGACTCGAAATTGAGCTCAGGTGCATCCTGTTTCCATTCACCATCCTTGAGATGTTTCTACAACTTGATTGGAGCCCACCTGTGGTAAATTCAATTGATTGGACATGATTTGGAAAGGCACACACCTGGCTATATAAGGTCCCAATGTTGACAGTGCATGTCAGAGCAAAAACCAAGCCATGAGGTCAATGGAATTGTCCGTAGAGCTCCGAGACAGGATTGTGTCGAGGCACAGATCTGGGGAAGGGTACCAAAAAATTTCTGCAGCATTGAAGGTCCCCTAGAACACAGTGGCCTCCATCATTCTTAAAAGGAAGAAGTTTGGAACCACCAAGATTCTTCCTAGAGGTGGCCGCCCGGCCAAACTGAGCAATCGGGGGAGAAGGGCCTTGGTCAGGAAGGTGACCAAGAACTCGATGGTCACTCTGACAGAGCTCCAGAGTTCCTCTGTGGATATGGGAGAACCTTCCAGAAGGACAACCATCTCTGCAGCACTCCACCAATCAGGCCTTTATGGTAGAGTGGCCAGACGGAAGCCACTCCTCAGTAAAAGGCACATGACAGCCCGCTTGGAGTTTGCCAAAAGGCACCTAAAGGACTCAGACCATGAGAAACAATATTCTCTGGTCTGATGAAACCAAGATTGAACTCTTTGGCCTGAATGCCAAGCGTCACGTCTGGAGGAAAGCTGGCACCATCCCTACGGTGAAGGATGGTGGTGGGAGCATCATGCTGTGGGGATGTTTTTCAGCGGCAGGGACTGGGAGACTAGTCAGGATCGAGGGTAAAGATGAACGGAGCAAAGTACAGAGAGATCCTTGATGAAAACCTTTTCCAGAGCGCTCAAGACCTCAGACTGGGGCGACGGTTCACCTTCCAACAGGACAACGACCCTAAGCACACAGACAACACAGGAGTGACTTCGGGACAAGTCTCTGAATGTCCTTGAGTGGCCCAGCCAGAGGCCGGATTTGAACCCGATCGAACATCTCTGGAGAGACCTGAAAATAGCTGTGCAGCGACGCTCCCTATCCAACCTAACAGACCTTGAGAGGATCTGCAGAAAGGAATGGGAGAAACTCCCCAAATACAGGTGTGCTAAGCTTGTAGCGTGATACCCAAGGCTGTAATCGCTGCCAAAGGTGCTTCAACAAAGTACTGAGTAAAGGGTCTGAATACTTATGTAAATGTGATCAGTTTCTTTACTATAATAAATTTGCAAAAATGTCTAAAACAGTTTGTTTTCATTATGGGATATTGTGTGTAGACAATTTAATCAATTTTCGATTAAGGCTGTAACGTAACAAAATGTGGAATAACAAAATGTGGAAAAAGTTAGGGGTCTGAATACTTTCCGAATGCACTTTATATCCTATTGTTTTGGCAATATCGCAATATTTTTGTGCTAGTTGGCTGTTCATGCATAACAACTCCACTATTTTTTCCTTCACAGCTTGTTCTCCATCTTTTTAAATAGGAAGCCAATTCAGTTTCATCACTGTTATTTCCATGACTGATAAACTAGTTTTCTCATGACTCTCTCTTGTCCCTCTGCAGCAGACATATGGTGAGCAATAGGTTTGGAACATCGAATCGCAATAAAATCACAGTTTTTGAATAACAATACATATAGAATCGTGATAATATCTTATCGTGAGGTCCCTGGCAATTCCCATCCCTATTATGAGGGCCCAGATTCAGAGGCTGATGTTATACAGGCCACAGAGGGGGAGCAGTGGGCCCAGATTCAGAGGCTGATGTTCTACAGGCCACAGAAGGGGAGCAGTGGGCCCAGATTCAGAGGCTGATGTTCTACAGGCCACAGAAGGGGAGCAGTGGGCCCAGATTCAGAGGCTGATGTTCTACAGGCCACAGAAGGGGAGCAGTGGGCCCAGATTCAGAGGCTGATGTTCTACAGGCCACAGAAGGGGAGCAGTGGGCCCAGATTCAGAGGCTGATGTTCTACAGGCCACAGAAGGGGAGCAGTGGGCCCAGATTCAGAGGCTGATGTTATACAGGCCACAGAGGGGGAGCAGTGGGCCCAGATTCAGAGGCTGATGTTACAAGCCACAGAGGGGGAGCAGTGGGCCCAGATTCAGAGGCTGATGTTCTACAGGCCACAGAAGGGGAGCAGTGGGCACAGATTCAGAGGCTGATGTTATACAGGCCACAGAAGGGGAGCAGTGGGCCCAGATTCAGAGGCTGATGTTATACAGGCCACAGAAGGGGAGCAGTGGGCCCAGATTCAGAGGCTGATGTTATACAGGCCAGAGGCAGAAAGCAAAAACTGTTTAAGCGCCACAAAATGGGTCTACATGTAGGCTACTTGTGCATTTGGAATGTTCATGTTTGTTTCCATTTTGAAAATGTTCCTTCTTGTTTGTGCCCAATGAACACTCCCCCAGGATTAAACATCAGTGCGTGTATTAGTCAACAAGTATATATTTTCGATTCCCATCTCAAGGATCACCAGGGGAGTATACAGCAGCAACAACACATTCAATCCATTAAAGGAAAGTCATGTAGATGCTTTAATTCCACTGTGGATGTACAGCTAAAGATTCCCCTAGTACAATAACAGGCTGTACTGTTACCTAATATGTCTGATTCAGTCATGGGAACATTTCATTTCTCAGAAGAACTGAACGCGAACAAGTGAGTAATTTTATAACAGTACTTACATAATGTGTGTTTTTCAAAACAAACATGCACCTACACACACACACGAGGACATGTAAAAAGATGTTGAAATAAAGCATATTTATTGTGCCGTCCACCATTATTTTCAGTCATGTTTCAATCCCCTCTAGGTGAACAATGTAATAACACTTGGAAGAACAAAGCCTTTCTGTCAGCTCCAAACTAGTGGATGGAATATTTTTTGCACACCTTTGATCGCCACGAGGAGTAGAGCTGTTCCACAGCAGAGGTGTATCGGAGAACATGGTCATCATTGAACAACACAACGACACAGGGCAGCTAGGCCCAGCAGTTAACAACAGTAGTTACATAGAAAAGAGAAGACCTAAGTCATCATTAATTACACAAGCACAGCTTTAAATAACAAACAACCGTACACCGTTCCAGTTCAGTCTTTGTCCATGCTTACACTTGACCAAGTACACATCCGATGCCCCAAGGCTACGTTTAGACAGGCAGCCCAATTCTGATATCTTTTCCCACTAATTGGTCTTTTGACCAATCACACCAGATCTGCTTCAGAGCTGATCAGATTGATCAAAAGACCAATTAGTAAAAAATAAAGATCAGAATTAAAGAGTCTAGTCCTGCTGTCCTCAAAAAACACATGTACACAAACAGATCTAGGGCCAGACAGAACAAGTAGGGTTGTTACCTATATCATTACAGCATCATCTGCACAGCTTATTGATAACGGAGCAGCTGATTACGTTGCTATATGCTAGTGCCATTTGGTTTGATTCCACAAAACACTATTGATTCTAAATCCCATTAAAGATATCATCCATGCAGGTTCCATCTGAATCTAGCCATGTTAGATATACAGCCCTAGTCCCCATAGGTTTACTGTCCGGAGCAATCCAATGCTTTACAGTCTTCATCAGCGAGTTGGTAAGCCACTTGGATACAATCAGAGATATAGGCAGGTGGACAGAGAGAGACCGACACAGGTCTTAGCTGTAGATGTAGCCTCAGACAGGTGGAACGCTAGAGGCTTCTCAAAAGCCTACTTCTTTCCCAGTGACAGACTGAAATAAAAGCAGAGGGGGGGTTGCACGTGTTAATGATAAATACTATTCTTTATAGTCATTTTCTAAAACCAAAAGAGGATTCACGATAAGGCAATCATAAAGGGGAAAACATAACAGCAACGCAAATTAAAAAGGAAGATTTGGATAAAATGTAATTTAAAGCACTCTAAAAAGTGCTTGGATGACACAAAATGGTGATGTGGGATTTAGTAATGAGTGAGAAAAACAGTCATATTTTTTTTTGCATTTCTTCAAGGCTCTGACAAGACACTGACTTCAGTAAACATGTCATCAAAACACACCTGATGGACAGAGGGTTGCTTTGCTGACATGTTTCTGAATATCTCTTATTACGTTTGTCTTTGTATTATTGTCAACTGCATAATAATAATATAACATGTATTTGAGGAAGGAATGACAGGCGTTTGGCACCAGGTTCTGTCTCCGTTTCTGTGAACAGTTATACATGGACACTGAAGATCCTTGGCAGCATTAAGATAAGAGGAAAATTATTTCAGTGTGATACAGAGTCCGACCAGTCATTCCCATTCCAGTGACCAGGCAAAGCAGTGAGATGGAGAGCAAAGACCAGGGTCGTGTTCATTAGCGTACACCGTAACAAAACATGTTAATGTTTTGTAAGGAAAAACTAGCGTTTCTTATTGGATAGTCCTTTCCCGTTTCAGCCTGTTGTCTTCCATTTGGTGCCTAATGAACACCCCTGGTGGTCGGTCATAGATCAAAGCTGTGAAAATGACATGGCATGCACACTGGAGGGAATGTGAGAAGAGCAGTCATTAAATGTCATGGTTTTGCTAAAAAAATATAAAAAATATCTTTGAGCTACAATTGCGGCTTCAAAAAAACTCATTCAGGGGCATCTTTAGGGAATTCATACTTTTCCACAGGAAATGTGATAGCGCAGGAATGTATTTTTCCAATATTGCCATTGATTTTCCCCAGCACCTGTAATGCACTACAGTGTGCGAAACTGTGGATGTGAACATTCATGCCAGAGCTAACCTTGAGGCAACTCAAACAAACCATCTGGGTAATGTTGAGCCATGCAAGAGAGGACAGAGCCAGACTAGGACATGATGACGTGAGAGTGAAGCTAAGAGAGAGTGAAGCTAAGAGCCAGTATGAAAATGTATGCACTCACTAACTAAATCGCTCTGGATTAGAGCGTCTGCTAAATGACTAAAATGTAGAGTGAGGCTAAGAGAGAGTGTGAGGCTAAGAGAGAGTGTGAGGCTAAGAGAGAGTGTGAGGCTAAGAGAGAGTGTGAGGCTAAGAGAGAGTGTGAGGCTAAGAGAGAGTGTGAGGCTAAGAGAAACATACTTGTTAAAAGAGTCGTCTTGAAGGTTGAGGACCAGGTTGTCTGCAGAAAGGTACACCTTGTTCTGGGACGTTGCCACCTGAGACAACAGAACAGACAACACACACTGTTGAAAACACAGCATCACTCAGCTAGTCCTGCAGCAGCTGGGGGTAAACAGCCATCCTTCAACCCCATTGGCTCAGAAAATAATCGAAGATACCGATGTAACCAGCTAACTGCACTGTGGGTTACCATAGCAATGAGAACCAAACAGCCACAACAAGAACAGGCTGCTAAAATGAATGACCCCATTCTGACTGGAACAATAACATCAAAGGTTTAGTAAACATTTCCTCCATACTTCATTAATAAAGTAGTTATGAGGACATAACTCAATTGATATCCAATTCCTTTATACAGGAACAAGGCCATGATTAGAACTCACAGTCTTAGCAATGGCCTGGGCAGCTCTGATTCGTCGAAGCTTCAGATATCCAGGATTCTTTGTCACTGCTTGTCCCAACTATAGCACAAACACAAAAGAGCCAGAATGAAGGAATGCTTAATGAAATTCATATAACATGTCAAAACTATTACAATGTAAATTGACATTCAATCCGTCTGCCTGCATATTTCAAGGCCATGGCATATGAGGGTGCAGTGAGATACCCGATGGATTGGACGATACTTTTCTCGTCAATCATCTTGGGAAAACATGTACGGTATACTTAACTGGAAATCAACCAATTCTCTGTCGTTAACACAATGGAAAGGTCAAAAGCTTTATTATCTAAATGTTGAAAGTGTGTGGGCGACAGAGAGAAACAAAATGGTGCAGTTTGAGGCCATGTGGCGGAGAGTGATGCGGGCGCTGGAGATGGGGGGGGTGTGCTAGTGGGTCTGGGCAGGGGTGATGTTGTGGATGATGGTGTGAATGTTTTTTATTGTACAAAAAAAAAAGGAATTCATAAAACACGTTAAAGTCAATAAAAAACAATTGTAGACTAGAATAATCAGCCTGGGTTTTGAAGTGACGTGAGGTCATGCGAAGAGGAGGGGGCAGATTGTCTGAAGGTTGTGGTGAAGTTGACGTGTTACCATCTTGGCAGCCTCCGCCTCTCCCTCCGCCTGAATAATCTTGTGTCTCTGGTCCTGTTTGGCTTTCTCCACATAGAACTGGGCTCTCTGGGCCTCCTGTTGGGCTGTAAAGACACACAAGCTTTGTTTAAACTCAATGCATGTTCTCACACACGGTAGCGTACTGGGAACCTCCCCCTTCACACACACACACACACACACACACACATATATATGCAGACAACCTAAAACACAGGCAAGTATGCACCCACAGACAGCCATATAACACCCCCCCCCCCCCCCCCCACACACACACACACACACACACAATGGGTACGCACCAACTTGTTTGGCCTCTACAGCAGCAGTGTACTCCCTGCTGAAGCTCAGCTCTGTGATGGCCACATCGTCCAGGATGATGTTGAAGTCTTTGGCTCTCTCAAACAGATCCCGTCGAATCAACAAGGACACCTACAGTAGACACCGGAACGCAGCACAGACTTATAAACACCGTCAAGAAAAAGGCTAAACATATGCAGGAGTTCAAGTTTCAATCTACTGTGTGTTCATTTTTAAGCAGAGACCGGCAAAGTACACAACCTTGGTCCCATATAACCCATCACTTCTGGGTGGCAGCACCTGTGCTCCCTGAGATGAGCTGTAGGCTACCTGTGTGAGTCCCTGTGCCGTACCTGTGCTCCCTGAGATGAGCTGTAGGCTACCTGTGTGAGTCCCTGTGCCGTACCTGTGCTCCCTGAGATGAGCTGTAGGCTACCTGTGTGAGTCCCTGTGCCGTACCTGTGCTCTCTGAGTGATGAGCTGTAGGCTACCTGTGTGAGTCCCTGTGCCGTACCTGTTCTCCCTGAGATGAGCTGTAGGCTACCTGTGTGAGTACCTGTGCCGTACCTGTGCTCTCTGAGTGATGAGCTGTAGGCTACCTGTGTGCGTCCCTGTGCCGTACCTGTCTCCCTGAGATTAGCTGTAGGCTACCTGGTGTGAGTCCCTGTGCCGTACCTGTGCTCCCTGAGATGAGCTGTAGGCTACCTGTGGTGAGTACTGGGGCCGTACCTGTGCTCCCTGAGATGAGCTGTAGGCTACCTGTGTGAGTCCCTGTGCCGTACCTGTTCTCCCTGAGATGAGCTGTAGGCTACCTGTGTGAGTCCCTGTGCCGTACCTGTTTCTCCCTGAGATGAGCTGTAAGCTACCTGTGTGAGTACCTGGGCCGTAACCTGTGCTCTCTGAGTGATTAGCTGTAGGCTACCTGTGTGAGTCCCTGTTGCCGTACCTGTGCTCCCTGAGATGAGCTGTAGGCTACCTGTGTGAGTCCCTGTGCCGTACCTGTGCTCCCTGAGATGAGCTGTAGGCTACCTGTGTGAGTCCCTGTGCCGTACCTGTGCTCTCTGAGTGATGAGCTGCGAGGCATTGAACTTGGCCACCACGCTCTTCAGCACCTCGTTGACGATGGAGGGTAGTACTCTCTCGTCATAGTCCTTCCCCAGCTGCTGGTACATGGCGGGCAGGTTGGCAGCCACAGGACGGGACAGCACACGCAGCCCAATGTTTATCATCTGCAGATCTACACAAGGGAAACAGAGAGAGAAGTTACAGGGCTGTCTCTTCTTTACTGATCTGCTGGACATAATGTATTGGTCTACTTGTGTCCATCCCTCCATTTCAGCCATCATGTACCTTTGCTTCCAGTTAGTGAAGCGATCTTCCTGGGCCTGGCTCTGATGTCATAGATGATTGGGTACTGGATCCATGGTAACCTGAAGAATAACAAAAACTGTTCAGTTACAATACGGTCATGTGAATTCAGTTTTGCTTCAAGTTGGAGCCTATTGAAACATGACGACCCTGGCTTTATGATAAACCCCTGAGACAGAGTCAGGCAGTGTACCTGAAGTGCAGTCCCTCAGCTAGCACTGTGTCCATCTGCATCCCCCCGATTCTGTTGAAGATGATCGCTCTCTGACCTCCATCCACTGGGAACAAACCATTTCACACAACATTAGAGGGGTGCTCTCATGATTGTGATAATAGTGTTACCCATTCCACAACCAGAGGTTAAGCCTACCTGTGAATGTAGCCTCTTTGATGCCATAGGCCAGAGATCCAGCCCCAATGAGCAGCTTGAGACCCATCCCTGCTCCCTTGCCCCCCGCGCCAGACATACGACCAGCAAGGTCCCGCAGGTGTGTCAGGAGGCGCTGGGAATACCGAACAAGGACGTCATGTTAGGTATCTGACAGAGCCCCTTTCTCCACAAATTACTACATGGCTTCCTCTACACCTGTTCAGTTATTAGGCCAGTAATACAGTCAACATTTTGGAGGGCTTGTTTGATGGTCCGGTTAACACCACTACCCCATCCGGTGGTCTTGAGGGGTACTTGTGGTCAGGACCTGCCTGTCATTTCATATTCACCTCGAATATTGACCATCTCTAATACATTTTAGTAATTTAGCAGACACTCTTATCCAGAGCGACTTACAGTTAGTGAGTGCATACATAATTCTTTTTATTTTTCATACTGGCCCCCGTGGGAATCGAACCCTGGCGTTGCAAGCGCCATGCTCTACCAACTGAGCTACATGGGGCCCATATACACTGCTCAAAAAAATAAAGGGAACACTTAAACAACAATGCAACTCCAAGTCAATCACACTTCTGTGAAATCAAACTGTCCACTTAGGAAGCAACACTGATTGACAATACATTTCACATGCTGTTGTGCAAATGGAATAGACAACAGGTGGAAATTATAGGCAATTAGCAAGACACCCCCCAATAAAGGACTGGTTTAGCAGGTGGTGACCACAGACCACTTCTCAGTTCCTATGCTTCCTGGCTGACGTTTTGGTCACTTTTGAATGATGGCGGTGCTTTCACTCTAGTGGTAGCATGAGACGGAGTCTACAACCCACACAAGTGGCTCAGGTAGTGCAGCTCATCCAGGATGGCACATCAATGCGAGCTGTGGCAAGAAGGTTTGCTGTGTCTGTCAGCGTAGTGTCCAGAGCATGGAGGCGCTACCAGGAGACAGGCCAATACATCAGGAGACGTGGAGGAGGCCGTAGGAGGGCAACAACCCAGCAGCAGGACTGCTACCTCCGCCTTTGTGCAAGGAGGAGCACTGCCAGAGACCTGCAAAATGACCTCCAGCAGGCCACAAATGTGCATGTGTCTGCTCAAACGGTCAGAAACAGACTCCATGAGGGTGGTATGAGGGCCCGACGTCCACAGGTGGGGGTTATGCTTACAGCCCAAAACCGTGCAGGACGTTTGGCATTTGCCAGAGAACACCAAGATTGGCAAATTCGCCACTGGCGCCCTGTACTCTTCACAGATGAAAGCAAAAAGCAGGTTCACACTGAGCACATGTGACAGAGTCTGGAGACGCCGTGGAGAATGTTCTGCTGCCTGCAACATCCTCCAGCATGACCGGTTTGGCGGTGGGTCAGTCATGGTGTGGGGTGCCATTTCTTTTGGGGGCCGCACAGCCCTCCATGTGCTCGCCAGAGTTAGCCTGACTGCCATTAGGTACCGAGATGAGATCCTCAGACCCCTTGTGAGACCATATGCTGGTGCGGTTGGTCCTGCGTTCCTCCTAATGCAAGACAATGCTAGACCTCATGTGGCTGGAGTTTGTCAGCAGTTCCTGCAAGAGGAAGGCATTGATGCTATGAACTGGCCCGCCCGTTCCCCAGACCTGAATCCAATTGAGCACATCTGGGACATCATGTCTCGCTCCATCCACCAACGCAACACCACAGACTGTCCAGGAGTTGGCGGATGCTTTAGTCCAGGTCTGGGAGGAGATCCCTCAGGAGACCATCCGCCACCTCATCAGGAGCATGCCCAGGCGTTGTAGGGAGGTCATACAGGCACGTGGAGGCCACACACACTACTGAGCCTCATTTTGACTTGTTTTAAGGGCATTACATCAAAGTTGGATCAGCCTGTAGTGTGGTTTTCCACTTTAATTTTGAGGGTGACTCCAAATCCAGACCTCCATGGGTTGATAAATTTGATTTCCATTGATAATTTGTGTGTGATTTTGTTGTCAGCACAATCAACTATGTAAAGAAAAAAGTATTTAATAAGATTATTTCATTCATTCAGATCTAGGATGTGTTATTTTAGTGTTCCCTTCATTTTTTTGAGCAGTGTATTATGGAACTGTGGATTGTGCAAGTCATTGAGTACTGAATGTGCATGTAAACTAGTCACGTTTATGTTCAAGCAGCAATTAAATCGACGGGGCTCCCGAGTGGCGCGGCATCTCAGTGCTTGAGGCGTCACTACAGACCCCCTGGTTCGATTCCAGGGTGTATCACAACCGGCCCGTGATTGGGAGTCCCAATTGGCCCAGCGTCGCCCGGGTTTGGCCGGTGTAGGCAGTAATTGTAAATAAGAATTTGTTCTTACATTTTAGTCATTTAGCAGACGCTCTTATCCAGAGTGCATACATTATTTTTTTCATACTGGCCCCCCGTGGGAATCAAACCCACAACCCTGGTGTTGCAAACGCCATGCTCTACCAACTGAGCTTCTTAACTGACTTGCCTAGTTAAATAAAGGTACAAATAAAAATAAATGTATTCCACGTAGAAACGGATAGGCAAGTTGCCTGCATGTGTGATGACATTGAATGAATGACTTGGAATATGTGTTGGTTCTGTTAGCTAATTATCATATTTTGGTAACTGCCTGTCAGGCTCGTATGTTATTCCAAATACCAATATTTTCCCACACTTCAGCAAGAAGTTAGTTAAGTTTAACTAGCTAGCAAATATTATCAAAGGCATTTAAGTTAGCTAGCATCTGATGCAACGTGAGCACTGGCCTGTTTCTAGCTGGTTAGAGAACAGTTTAGCTAAGTTGGCATTGGCAAACCTTCACTTCCATATGGAATCTAAAAAATACTTGCTATAGTTTGATAGGTAGCGGTCATAAGCTTTGCAGAGAAGATATGAGTCTTAAAAACGACCTGCCAAGCTAGCCAATTAACCACAGCTAACTAGCTATTAGCTAACGTTTGCTAGCTATCTCTCTCCTCTCTTAAGTATAGCCTATAAGTCATAATATATAAACACACGTCTGGAATACAAACAGCGTTTACAAGCTGACACTATAACAAGTAAATCTTGCCTATGTCTATAGTAAGTACGGTTGATAGTTATTTTAAATACTCACGTTGGGCTCTTTATTCTCCATGCTTGCAGTGCAGTCGATATCCAAGGTCGTCACAGACCAACCTCACTCATTTAGGTGTAAGGCTTTCTGGGACTTGAAGTTCACTGCAGCTATAAATTACATAGCCACCCTGTGGTGGGCTAGTCTGTATTTTATGAAACAGGCTTGCATTCAATAGAGTACAATCAAAGGTAACTGCCCACGGGTTTATTGAAAAGAGTTGAGTGTCTGTAGTCAAAATATGAATGAATGTTTAGTTCGAATTTGCATATAGGTGCCTCATACACTTGCCAAGTTTGGGATCCCAGGAGGCAAAATATATTGCATGAACCACTTCATCATTCTGTTGCAGATATTTTTTTATTTAACCTTTATTTAACTAGGCAAGTCAGTTAAGAACAAATTCTTATTTACAATGACGGCCTACACCGGCCAAACCCGGACGAAGCTGGGCCAATTGTGCGCCGCCCTATGGGACTCCCAATCACGGCTGGTTGTGATACAGCCTGGAATCGAACCACCTGTGGACGTCGGGCCCTCATACCACCCTCATGGAGTCTGTTTCTGACCGTTTGAGCAGACACATGCACATTTGTGGCCTGCTGGAGGTCATTTTGCAGGGCTCTGGCAGTGCTCCTCCTTGCACAACGGCGGAGGTAGCAGTCCTGCTGCTGGGTTGTTGCCCTCCTACGGCCTCCCCCACGTCTCCTGGTAGCGCCTCCATGCTCTGAATACTACGCACACAGACACAGCAAACCTTCTGCCTTAGACCGCTGCGCCACTCGGGAATTAAACTTCACCAACCACAAAGAAAATAATTAGTGGACATATTTTAATCCATAATTCATGTAGTAATAAACACAGTCTATTTTACAGGATTAGTTACAGCTAAAAAAAAAAAAAATGCAAACAACGAGAATATCAGCAACCACAACTGGAAGCAAACATCAAAAACAAAAGGTGACAATGGAGCAGTGTACATCGCAGGGTGACAAGGAAAAAATAATGTACAAATAAAATAATTTACAGGTTTCTTGCCATGAGCATCATCTTTGCCCATACATATATATATAGATATTTACATACAAAAAGTCTCGTCTGCCAAGAAGCCAGTGTGATCTTGATGACTTTGTTGGATGTTGTTCTTCCTGCATTGTTCCCTTTATTGCTGCGGTCACCCGTCACTGTAAAGAGAAATACGTGGCCTCCTGTGACCATTGGATAACAACAATCAGCTGTGTATGCATGGTCCTGGTTTCCCCCCCCACTTCAAGGATTAATAGAAAATAAAAAACGAAGGTGTTCCTCTTCAGACATAGAAAAGTCGTACTCGGGAGGTGCTGACGTGAAGATCGTCATCAAAGAACTTGGTCTCTATAACAACGTTTCCACTGCAAGGGAGAGAAACGAAAAAACATTACAATTCAACACACGCTAACCTCTAGCTGCAAAATATGAGACAAAGCAGTCCCATAACAAGGACATTGCAGTTTACAGGAAGTTTGGTGTAGAATAGATAAAGTATGAAGGAATATTTGGATGTAGCCTCATGACTTATTCAAGATGCAGCCTAGTGAGTGACAGTTCTATACTACTGACAAACAATTGCACAACACAAATGTAGGACAATGACCAGAAGTCCCAACAACGCATGCAGAGAAATGCAAAAAGGCTGAAATAGTTTATAAAAAATATATATATTAACTCTTACGTTAAAACATTTGCGGGCATCATCTGCGACTCTGGAGCCGCCTCTATCAAAGACTGCCATGTGTTTGTGGAGTTGGGAATCACAAAGCCAAACTCAAAGAACCATTCTGCAGGTAGAGGAGAGAGCCATCCAAAATACATTAAATGAGTGTTTATTCACGGATATTGTATTCTTTAGTACATACAGGCAGAAAGGAAGAGGCGATGCTAGAGGGATAACTGAGCCCAAAATCTATCTTCTCCAGCAGGTGGCGTTGACATTAAACTTTTTCGCTCACCAAGCGAGGAGTTTTTGTATGGAGGTCAATGAGTGTCGAATTTGGTTAACAACAAATGTACTGGCTTATTTACTATGCGTGGCTTATTAGACCGAGTAGAAGTTTCGTAATGATTTGGTTGTTACGAGTGTACTGATATAAGTAGGACACATGAAATCCTGGCAACTACAAAAAAACATCGGAATTGTGCCTGGTCGACACTAGTTACCACAGCCACAAAGTCATAAACCCCACCTATTTCTAAAATGTGTCTTCTTAAAATGTGATTTTAAACCTCACATTACCCACACTGCTAACCTTATGCCTTACACTAATCTTATAATTTTTACGATATAGCCAATTTTGATTTTGTAGCTGTGGTAACCGTTGTGTCATGTTGGTCACACGCGTATCTGTCCTCTCATTGGCTAGAATGGTCCCACCTGATCTTGCCTCCTCCCGACTGCCATTTTTGAAGACATTTACTTGTTAGAGCGACCAGATGGTCAATATAATGGATAATATGTGATACAGGTAACTGCAAAGATGAGGCATACAAAGTATATTGAACAGAAATATAAATGCAAATTGTTGGTCCCATGTTTCATGAGCTGAAATAAAAAGATCCCAGAAATGTTCCATATGCACAAAAAGCTTTCCATCCCTGTCACTGACCATTTCTCCTTTGCCAAAATAATCCATGTCTCAAATTGAGGGAGCGGGCACTGCAGGAATGTCAAACAGAGCTGTTGCCAGATACGTTAATGTTAATTGGTCTACCATAAGGCCAACATCGTTTTAGAGAATTTGGCAGTACGTCCAACCTGCCTCAAAACCGCAGACCACATGTAACCACACCAGCCCAGGACCTCCACATCCGGCTTAATGGTGTCGCATCCCTCCAACGGAGTTGCAGACACTTCTAGAATCTATACCAAGGTGCATTGAAGCTGTTCTGGCTTGTGTTGGTCCAACGCCCTATTAAGGTATTTGTCTGTAATTATGGCCTTTTGTGGGGAAAAACTAATTCTGATTGTCTGGGCCTGGCTCCCCAGTGGGTGGGCCTATACCCTCCCAGGCCCACCCATGGCTGCACCCCTGCCCAGTCATGTGAAATCCATAGATTACGGCCTAATGAATTTATTTCCTTCTATGAACTGTAACTCAGTCAAATCTTTGAAATTGTTGCATTTATATTTTTGTTCAGTATATATTGAAAGCAGTTGCTTTCACACAGGTGTGGTTCCTGAGTTAATTAAGCTATTAACATTCCGTCATGCTTAAGATCATGTATGAAAATGCCCAATACCCCATTATTTTGGCTACCATGGAAAGAGGAGTCTCAAAAGAGCATAGCAGGTTTAATGTGTGTGTGTGTGTGCGTGTGTCTCAGTCACCAGATCTCAACCCAATTAAACACTTATGGTAGATTATGGAGCGTGGCCTGAGACAACATTTTCCACAACCATAATTATTTTTATTTTTTTATAGAATTTCTCGTAGACGAATGGTGTCGCATCCCTCCAAAAGAGTTCCAGACACTTCTAGAATCTATACCAAGGCGCATTGAAGCTGTTCTGGTGGCTTGTGTTGGTCCAATGCCCTATTAAGAAACTATATTGGTGTTTCCTTTATTTTGGCAGTTACCTGTATATAAAAAGCATGATTATTGAAACAGAAAAAAGAGACTAGTACCTTCTAAGCACTGGCCTTTGAAGAAAACCTTCTGCTCAAGGCGGAACTTTTCCAGTTTTTCTGACGAAGAGAAATTTAACTCTCTGGACACAGCTTTGCACTTGAGGATTTTCTTGGGGACTCGAGCTGCAAGGAAATGAAAGGGACTGTCAACCTACTAATTAGGAGAGAAAAAAATGCAACACAAACAACAACATCATGGGGCCTCATTTATAAACCGTGCATACAGTGCCTTGCAAAAGTATTCATCCCCCTTGGCGTTTTTCCTATTTTGTTGCATTACAACCTGTAATTTAAATTGATTTTAATTTTAATTTTATGTAATGGACATTGGTGAAGTGGAATGAAAAAAAAAAAAAAAAAAAACGGAAAAGTGGTGATTGCATATGTAAATAAGATCAGGTGGAACCAATTACCTTCAGAAGTCACATAATTAGTTAAATAAAGTCCACCTGTGTGCAATCTAAGTGCCACATGATCTCAGTATATATACACCTGTTCTGAAAGGCCCCAGAGTCTGCAACACCACTAAGCAAGAGGCACCACCAAGCAAGCGGCACCATGAAGACCAAGGAGCTCTCCAAACAGGTCAGGGACAAAGTTATGGAGAAGTACAGATCAGGGTTGGGTTATAAAAAAATATCAGAAACTTTGAACATCCCACGGAGCACCATTAAATCCATTATTAAAAAATGGAAAGAATTTGGCACCACAACAAACCTGCCAAGAGAGAGCCGCCCACTAAAACTCACAAACCAGGTAAGGAGGTCATTAATCAGAGAGATAATCCTGAAGGAGTTGCAAAGCTCCACAGCGGAGATTGGAGTATCTGTCCATAGGACCACTTTAAGCCGTACACTCCACAGAGCTTGGCTTTACGGAAGAGTGGCCAGAAAAAAAGCCATTGCTTAAAGAAAAAAATAAGCAAACACGTTTGGTGTTTGCCAAAAGGCATGTGGGAGACTCCCCAAACATATGGAAGAAGGTACTCTGGTCAGATGAGACTAAAATTGAGCTTTTTGGCCATCAAGGAAAACGCTGTGTCTGGCACAAACCCAACACCTCTCATCACCCCGAGAACACCATCCCCACAGTGAAGCATGGTGGTGGCAGCATCATGCTGTGGGGATGTTTTTCATCGGCAGGGACTGGGAAACTGGTCAGAATTGAAGGAATGATGGATGGCGCTAAATACAGGGAAATTCTTGAGGGAAACCGGTTTCAGTCTTCCAGAGATTTGAGACTGGGACGGAGGTTCCCCTTCCAGCAGGACAATGACCCTAAGCATACTGCTAAAACAACACTTGAGTGGTTTCAGGGGAAACATTTAAATGTCTTGGAATGGCCTAGTCAAAGCCCAGACCTCAATCCAATTGAGAATCTGTGGTATGACTTAAAGATTGCTGTACACCAGTGGAACCCATCCAACTTGAAGGAGCTAGAGCAGTTTTGCCTTGAAGAATGGGCAAAAATCCCAGTGGCTAGATGTGCCACGCTTATAGAGACATACCTCAAGAGACTTGCAGCTGTAATTGTTGCAAAAGGTGGCTCTACAAAGTATTGACTTTGGGGGGGTGAATAGTTATGCACACTCAAGTTCTGTTTTTGTCTTATTTCTTGTTTGTTTCACAATAAAAAATATTTTGCAACTTCAAAGTGGTAGGCATGTTGTGAAAATCAAATGATACAAACCCCCCCCAAAAAATCCATTTTATTTCCAGGTTGTAAGGCAACAAAATAGGAAAAATGCCAAGGGGGGTGAATACTTTCGCAAGCCACTGTACATACAAAATATACCCCAAAATGTGCGTGGCAAGTTCACGCAAAAGTTGGCATTTATAAAAAAAGATTTGACAATGCCTAATTCTAGACAATGCGTACGCACATCTGCTAGTGGTTGAAATATTGTATTGCAAGTAATTAATTTGTTCAAATCGGGGATATGATGAAAAGCATATTCATAAAACAGTATAAAAATAAAACAAGAATACAGCCATTTACCATTACTGAGAAGATCAAAAAGTTTACTTTTAGAATCTAAAATAATTCGACATAGGAATCTTTTTCCTATTTATTTTATATTCATAACCATTGCAGAATATATTTGTCACCTTTTCTGGCCATGATGGGTTCATATTCCTGAGGGAGCCATACAACAAATTACCACGCGCATCTCTCATTTAATTAGACCTAGTAGCCTAGTAAATAGATAGGCTGTATGTATTTCAAGTTTTGCAATATCATAGGCAGTGCGGTTTATAATACCGTTATGCAGTCGAATTTAACAGGTGAACAGTTTATATTTTACATTGAAGTAGGCCTTAGTAAGCTACTGTACTGTAATTGCATTTTTTTAGTAGCCTGCCTTAGACAATGTCTAACAATTCGCGGACAGTCCATATTTAGGTTGGAGGAAAAGTCAATGCAAAACATAGTTGATTTCAAACGTTCTGCAGACAAGTCCACAACAATTTGCTATTGTTTTCCTCATTCAGAAACTGACAGTCCTTTTTCAGATACAGCATAAATTACTGCTGAAGATTAAAACATCCTGCCAACACAGTAAATACACCGATGGCTTTCCGTAACATAGTTGACAGTATGGGTAGGCTAAAGTATTGGTGTGCGATAGGAGCGCGACATCAATGCCCATTTAATCTCATAGCCTATACCAAGGCAGCACATGGAAATCCAATCATCTATTGATAAAATAAATATTGAAAGTCTTTTGCATGCCGTGGCCTAATGCCAATAGTTCCAAATTATACCTAAAATAAAAGGGCGTTATTGTCACCACAAAAGGAGAATGGAGAGCGTTTTTCAGGCGGAGTACTAATGCTAGTTCACGCACGTAGTTTTATGACATGTCTGATTTATAACGAGAAACATGCTTATGTATGGAGTTTGCCAAGTTTATAAATCTCTATAATTTTTGTACGTGCGCAATTTTCAGAAATGGCGCATGCAGACATTATACATTGACAGGTCCCTGATGTTTACCTAAAGCTAGGCTACTTTCTCACATAAAATACATGTTCATTTTTCTATTGATTCTAATATACAACATTGAACATGGCACAACGTGACATCACTGTGTAAAGGTAAATTGCTAACAATCATTTTGGGCGTTTTGACATTGGTTAGGGGTTGAAGCTCTTAAGGAAAAACTGTCTGTGACTGCTGGGTTTGGTTAGAACCGAGTGGTCATCTTGGTAGTGGTTGGAAGATACAGCCTAATAATCCACGTTCACACCATGACGGAGGAAAAATGACAGTTAACCAGCCAGGAGATTCCAGTACCTTCATGTTCGACCCCAGGAAGAGACAGATCCTCCGTTCCCTGCCACAGCACCTTCCCCGTCTCAGCGTCACGCAGGTTCATCCAGTTTCTGGCAGAGGGAGTCAAGGAAAACTACGGACACAGCCATGTACTTACTTACATCAGGCAACAGTAGCCTTGTCTAGGTTCTGGTTTCTGGTCTGTACTGTTTGTGTCTGCTGCTCGTGGCAAACCTTTGAATTTCCCTCTCAGGGCCAGGGATCAATGAAGTAACGCCAGTATTCCACAAGGTGGCACCCAGGATAACAGGAAACCCATCAAGTTATGAACGTTTAGTGGAAGCCAACTGACAGACTATTCAAACAGTAGCCAAGCCCAATCACAAGGAGGAAATACACAACAATATAGAACCTTTGATCTCTCGGAACCAACAGGTAATCCAGAAGTATGCAACAGATGTTCAACTCAGTCTCGAAAAGAAAAAAAGCTAACCAACGGACACAAGTCTTCTTGATAATGCAACTAGTACTAGTAGCCAAAAATGAAAACTGTCTAGGCCTATTTTTATACTTCCAAAAATCTTATTAGAGAGCCGACGTTTGTGGCTATAGTTATTTACACCAGCTCTCACGCCATGTTATTTTATTGGAGTGGCCAATTCTAGTGTCTTAAAGCCGAACATGATTATGTAGCTACTACTAGCTAACCTCTTCTAATAGGTCAAGTGGTGCAAGCCGAGTCAAATGTGTAACATGACAGTTCTCCAGCTGGTGCAAGTGCCAACGGACAGAGCAAAGAGTTTAACTCGGCTCTGGAAGCCAACCTGAAGATATGGCTGTTTTGTGTCAACTAGATGGTACTCCATGTCAGATGCACCTGAACCCCGTTCTCAAGACCATCTGTGCTGCTCCCCCCCCCCCCCAACAGGGTGTCAGCACCAGCCCTCCTCAGGACACAATGCCATTCAGTTCACGTGACTATTTCACGACTAAGGGCTTCAAACATGACTATTTCGTGACTAAGGCCTTCAAACAGCGAAACAGAATAAGGAGGAGCAAAGTGTCTGTCAAGCAATTCCCCAAACGGGATACATTCTTTCAAACTAATAATAAGAGCCTAGATATAGAATGACCAAACTTCAAAACAGCAGGTAGGAAAATACAAGTTGTGAAGTGAAAATGGAAACAAGACGCAACCAACTCCAACACGGAGCTTAGCTAGCCATTTTCTGTGGAGCTAGCACTGTCTTAGCGAGATGAAACGTGTGGTGCTTTTAATAATAATTTCATCCTTTCAAATCTGACAGACTGCAGCCCAGCAACACCTGGGGTCAGCTCAGTCACCAACCTCCCAGCAGCTTCCAAATCATCTCAATGATACTCATTCACTCATAGAACTCATCGAAACATAGCTACTATCCTCTAGCGATCAGTATAACAAGCACGTTCCCCTTCAAAAACATGACTGGGCTGCTTGGTGAAGTGGTGTAGGTATATTTGGCTTGGACTCGTCCGTTGTCTCCTACCTCCCATCATAATGGAAACAGTATCCGCGGACAAGACATTTCAATTTATCATTAGCAGTTCTTATCCAAAGCGACTTACAGTTAGTGAGTGCATACATTTTCATATTGGGGGGGGACGACGACAAAGCAGCTTAGCAGCGTCTACCCATCTAACGTTTTATGAATGGATTAGAATACGATCTGTCCTGCTGCTTCAATGTGAATTATATATTTAATTTTATTTATTACGCTCATGAACTGGCTGCAGAGAACAATTCAGGAAAACGTTGACAGTACATTCCAAGGTCAAAGACTAGGGCCTAGACAACACAAACTTCTTCATAATAGGCCTGGTTAGAGATGTCAGCTAACTGCAGTTATATTAAAGCCCGGTGGTGAGAAGGTGACAGATGTCTCCAGGATCACACCTACTGAGATCCCTGGTGCTAAGCAGAGAAGATCCACAGGGGGGACAGACCCAACACACTCAAACATGGTTCTTAATTAGCCCCTAGATGCACGCTAGCCTCACTTAAGCTCCATCCATTTTTAAAGAGTAGCTTTAAAAAAGGTCCATGCAGACGTAAAAAAAAAATCTCAATATCAAATATTTTCTGTGTAACAATTAAGTACCTTACTGTGATTATTTTCAATGAAAATGGTCAAAAAGAAACAAAAGTAGCTTCTTAGCAAAAAGCCATTTCTTAAGCAACAATTTTGCTAGAACTGTCTGGGAGTGGCCTGAGTGAGGGGCCTAATGGGAGGGGCCTAATGGGAGGGGCCTAATGGGAGGGGCCTAATGGGAGGGATATGTAACCTGACAACTAGCTGTTAATGGAGGGCAAACTCTCTTTGTTTACGGTCTATTAACACAATGAGTCCCACCGTGACGGCAGCGCGTTTTGGACTTCTAACCCTTTTAAACATCGTGTTTGAGCTACCGACTTCTGCATCCATAGATACCAACCATTAGTCTGTGATTAACGGGGGCTGAGCTAGAGCGCTGTTTGTGAGACAAGGGCAGATCCCGAAGGGGCCCCGTGTCTTTTTACAAAAACGGCTGCAGAGCCCCGAATGGTTTGAGCTACACACTATTAAAAGCTATCTATAAAAAGCGGAGACTCTCACTAACATGTAACGTGTTCTGCTCTATGACGCTCACAAGCTACAAAAGAGTCGTTAGAAGGTAAGGGGTTCTTCTACATAGAAGATCATAGGAAATCCTAGGACATAGTGTCTATAATACTGTAATAAGCTCACATAGTTGCTGTCAAACTCCACACAGTTGTCACTGACTAGTTGGATATTGATTTCCCACTGAGAAAACAATTTCTGTATTTACAGCATTCAGATAAATTCATTTTGATCAGATTTTTGCTTTTGTTGTTGAGATTTGTCAATAAAACTCATGAATGCAACTGTTTATGTCGAATTGTTTTGTGTTCTACTTAGAGCCCTGGTTGTCCTGAAAAGAAAATGGTAAAACACTTAATTGTGAGACTAAATATAAGGGCTGGACATGCAGACAAATGAAAAGTCTGATAAATGAAAAGCAGATTTTTGCTTGGGTCTTGGGACTGATAGGGTTAACTTGTATCACCTGGTGATGTAGCCAGGTGGTCCAAAATCCCCACCCATGCAAACAAGCTGAAATTTAAAGCGGTCCTTTCAAAACAGATCTTACACTAAAAGAGCATTATCATAATTTTCACAATTTCACAGTAATATTCCAACCTCAGTGTGGAAATATATATAAAACACAGGAAAATCACATTTTTGACTGCACATGCAATAAACAAGAGACATATAAAGTCATGACGTATGCAATATTGCATGAACTATCAAATGAAACCATTGCAAATAAATACATCTCATTGCATAATTTGTGTACATATAATCTTCAGAAATGCAATCGAGACTTTTCTGAAGTCCCAAAGCTCAAATATCCTACCCCTACACCAACTCAGACTTTCACTGTGAGGTTAGCCAGTCCTTTCATTCACACAGTTCTGTGAATCAGTTTGTTTCAGGGACAGATTAAATGCATGTCAGGTCCACTCAGGGGAAGCAGAAGCTGCAGTGCACACTGCATTCTCCTCCGAGGCCAGCCTTTGCCTTCCTTAGGGACATAACAGTCACCGATGTTGAAGCACAGTGCTCCTGTACAGGCCAGGATGCCCAACGCAGCAGCATCATAAATACGTGAGTCATGTAGCCTGTGGACTTTTAGTCTGAGATGTATGTTTGTCTAATTAACCGAACTGCCGAGAGGTTTTTCCATACAATTAACTACTGTAGGGCAGCTTTATAAAATACTGTAGTGTGCTATGGAGAGGCGGGATCCTCAGCACGACTTGGGTAATAGGTTATAGCCTAGTCCTATGGTACACAATACTGGGTTATTCATGGTTGCAAGGCAGTTCCCAGGAATCAAAGCATCAAATAATCTGATTAGGCAGCACAAGGGAATCACACACAAATCACACTTTCATAATTTCAGGTTATACCTAAATTCATTACAGAACTTGGAATATTATGCTAGACTTAGAAACTTTACTAACTGAAAGCAATGATGATATTCTCGTCAACACAGTCTGCAAACAAGCAAATTGATACTGAAGTTGAGTTGTAGCTCCTCTTGTGACTTCTTTGAATTCTCCCTGCTGTGATACAACTTCTAGTGCTTTCTATAAATATCCTCATTGCATAAGACAATGACCTACAGGTCAAAAAGCTGGTCATGCTGGGGAAGACTTCCTAACCTCCTTAACCCGATAGTCACCATACGGCACACAAAGTGATACACAGAAAACTCTGATCAGCACACGTCAAATAAATCTTCTAGATTAATTTGATGGAAAAACCTTGAGAAATCTGTGTGAATGTAGCCTGTTTCTTGGTGATGTTGTAATCACGATTAATCTGATGCTCGTTACCTAACTTTTAAGGAGGGGGAAGGAAGGAGTTTTTGGTTTTAGTTCAAAGATGGCGAATTACTCAAGAGTACAAATCGATTGCTTGGTCTCAGGAGGATCAGCTTAAAGTTGAAACAGCTTGACTATCCTCTCTATGTTCCTATGCAATCCACAAAAATCAAAAATCAAAGTCTTTGCAAAAGTCCTAAAATCCGTTACACAGCGGATGCGTCATAATACCCATAGAACCTAGCGGTCAAACACAGAAATGGTTCCTAAGTCTTTAAACCACACATTTTTCCCATAGGGGATTTTAGAACCACTTCAAAACAAGGTCTGTGTTTCATGTAGGCTTTCCCTGGCATGACGTTTTGATAACCATGTAAATCTCTCTAGGACAAGGTGACTTATCTATATATCTCTATATCTATACATATATATTCGGCTCCATTTACTTTCAGATTCGAAAATGCTAATTCCATCAAAGTAGACATCATGCTAGACTATACATTCCTGCAAGCTCCTACACGTCATCTCTAGCTGACACCTTTGCTGTCAGCTAGCTAGCTACCTTGATACAAAATGAAAGATATATTGAATCATTTACTGTTCCATATTTTATTTTACTAATATTTGTTGGCTTATTTATGCATTTGGTCTTGTGTCTTGTACAAAATACTGTCCTAGTAG